GTGGTGGGGGTGGGTGCATGGCCTGGATGTTGTTGGGTTGGTGCTGCAGATCCTGAATTGGGGTTACACAACCATGGGATGGCTTGGGTTGGGAGAGAGCTTAGAGATCATCCAGTCCCACGCTGTGCCACGGGTGGTGACACCTTCCACCAACCCAGCTTGCTGCAAGTTTGGTACAACCTGGCCTTGGACACTCACAGGGATGGGGCAACCACAACCTTTCTGGATTTAAAGCGTTTTATTTTAAACTCTTTTGACTTCTGAAGAGTTCTAGTTTAAATTTGGAGAAGTTTAAAGAACTCTAGGGTCGTTTTTCCCCTCTGCTGACTGCTGTCCGTGCCTGGGTGACCCCTGACCGTTTGCTCTCTTTGCAGGTCTCCATCACCGCCCCCGCGCAGACGTTCTCCCTCTCCACGCAGATACTCCCCCCCGATCCAGAGGCGCTATTCCCCATCTCCCCCTCCCAAGAGGAGAACAGCCTCTCCTCCTCCCCCTCCCAAAAGAAGGGCCTCCCCTTCCCCCCAGTCCAAGCGCAGAGTCTCCCACTCCCCACCGCCCAAACAGAGGAGCTCCCCCACTGCCAAGCGGCGCTCCCCTTCCGTGTCTTCCAAGCATAGGAAGGGGTCTCCCCCCAGCAGATCCAACAGGGAAACACGTTCTCCACCACAAAACAAAAGGCATTCACCTTCACCACGGCCTCGAGCTTCCCACCCCTCCTCCAGCCCTCCGGCGCCGCGCCGGGGAGCGTCGGCGTCGCCGCAGAGGAGACAGTCACCCTCACCCAGCAGCAGGCCCATCAGGAGGGTGTCCAGAACGCCAGAGCCCAAGAAAACAAAGTAAAGAAACCCATCTAGTCTGCTTGGGGTTTGATGAGGGGTTGTTGTTTAGTTGTGATGCAGTGGAAGTGGTTAAGGAATCACAGAATCCCAGAATGGTTTGGGTGCAAAGGGACCTTAAAGCCCCTCCAGTGCCACGTGGCAGGGACACCTGCACTGTCCCAGGGTGCACCAAGCCCCAGTATCCAACCTGGCCTTGGGCACTGCCAGGGATCCAGGGGCAGCCCCAGCTGCTCTGGGCACCCTGTGCCCTGTGCCTCCCCACCCTCACAAGGAAGAAGTGTTTCCCAATATCCCATCTGAGCCTGTCTCTGGCAGTGGAAGCCATTCTCCCTTGTGCTGCCTGCATGAAGAGCCCTTCTCCCTCCTTTTTAGAAGACCCTGAAATGTGCCACCAGGTCTCCCCAGATCTTTCTCTTTAATTGCTGACTTTAAAGGAAACCTAACTTTGTCTTAACCCTAACTGTGGAAGGGGAGCAGCACTTCTCATCAGCTCAGAAATAACTCCATAAGTGACCATTCATGATAAACTGCTACAATTATAAATATTTTTCTCTTTAGTGAGATGTTGGCTTTCTGAGCAGACTGTGAGAAGTGTGGTGCTGGCTTATGAATTTTTTCAGGAGGAAAATGTAGCTGAATGGAAAGCCTTGCACATTTAAATAGCATTGCTGTTCTCTTGGTTTTTAATGTGATTATAACTTAGTTCGAGCAGAAAGGCAGCAATCAGTTCTGAGCAGCAGCAGGGTTGTTTAACAGCTTTTCAGGCTGCATTATGGATCCACTCTGCCATTGGATTGTTTTTCCTTTTTTATCACACCAGCAAAGCAATTAATCTATTTATTTTTTAAAATCAATTTAAATCTTTCTAAGTGCAGTCTGACCAAGTTAAAGCAAAGATGTTCCTTTGGTTCTTGTGCTGATGTTGCCTTGTTGTGTCTCACCTGTGGCTCTCTGTTCCCAGGGCTTCCAGCCCCAGCCCCCGGCGCGTGTCCTCGTCCCGCTCTGCGTCAGCGTCCCCTGAGGCAGCTCCCAAAAAGCACCCGGGGCCTGCATCTCCCGCCCGCTCTCGCTCTCCCTCTGCAAACTGGTCACCTGCAAAAAAGGCCAAGAGCCCAACTCAGAGCCCATCACCTGCCAGGGTATTTGTCTGCCCACAAAACAGAACTGCTCTGGGTCCCAGGCAGGCTGTGGTTGGGAGGGCTGAGCTGCTGAGCAGCCCCAGGGTTATTCACAGGGGGGAAACTGCTTGGGGTCGTTCTTTGTAGTTAAAAACTTCTAAAAACAATATTTGTAACATGAATTTTTCAAGCTTAACATCTCCAAGTGTGGGAGAAAATAGTGCTCTATAGAAAATCAGTCTTCTGGGGAAAAGTCTGTCCCATTTCATGAGTGCTAATGATTTTTATGGTCTACAAAGTATGGGGGGCTCATTTATGGTCAGTATGCTATGTGCAGACTCAGAGTATTCCCAGTGGGAGGAGAACAGATTGTTTGGTATCTTCACCTCCTCTTCTGAGGTGTTTCCCAGGGGCAGTTCCATTCTTTGCCAGAGAAGTTTGAAGCCTTAGAGATGAGTTGTAACATCTGTTGAATTATTTATTACAGAATTCAGATCAAGAAGGTGGTGGCAAGAAGAAGAAGAAAAAGAAGGATAAGAAGCATAAAAAGGATAAAAAGCACAAGAAACACAAAAAGCATAAGAAGGAGAAGGCAGCAGCAGCTGCAGTAGCTGCTGCTGTGGCTCCAGCAGACACCACCTCAGCACAGGGAGAGCAGGAAGCAGAGACAGAACCCAAAAAGGTGAGAATTTGGGACTTTGTCAAGGGTGGGTGTGCCCTGCTCTGCTGGGGTTCTGACAGCCCCAGTTCCAAAGTGAGATTTGGGGGGTGTGATTCCATATGGGGGTTTCAGTGCTGGCCAGCCTGGCGTGTTTGAAGCAGCTCTCTGTGTTTGTTTGAAGGAGACAGAAAGTGAACCAATTCCAAAGTGAGATTTGGGGGGTGTGATTCCATATGGGGATCTCAGTGCTGGCCAGCCTGGGGTGTTTGAAGCAGCTCTTTGTGTTTGTTTGAAGGAGACTGAAAGTGAACCAATTACAAAGTGAGATTTGGGGTGGATTATTCCATATGGGGATTTCAGTGCTGGCCAGCCTGGCGTGTTTGAAGCAGCTCTCTGTGTTTGTTTGAAGGAGACAGAGAGCGAACCCGAGGACAACCTGGATGACCTCGAGAAGCACCTGCGGGAGAAGGCGCTGAGGTCCATGAGGAAGGCGCAGGTGTCCCCCCCCTCCTAGGCCAACCCTTTGATATAATGTACATTTTCTTTGGTTTGTACTCAGAATTCAATTTCAAATTGCTAAATGTGTTTGAGCTTTAGAATATAACATTTGTTGTAATAATTGCTAGGTTGAGGTTCACCATGTACAAAGGGCATGGATTTACATTACAAAAGGTGTCCACAGTGTACTAGTGACATTCTTTCATTGACAGCATAATTTCATTTAGAGTGAGACTTTTTAGAAGCAGTAGGAATTTGTTTTGGAGGTTTGAAACATGACCGTCAGTTCCCTCATTTCTTTGAAATCAGCAGAGCCTTGAGCAGAATTTGTGAGGGGCTCATTTGACTTCTTTTGTATCACTTACATGATGCTACTAACCTTTGTGGTTTGTAGGCTTGCCCAGGAGTAAAACCACTGCAGAATTCAAGGAAATACATCTCTATTTTAATGCTTTCTACTGTTGCCTGTATAGTCTCCATAAAGCCAATCAAGAATAGCAATTTAGAGTGGTACATAAATGAAAGCATGTTGTTTACCAGGACACTGTGGGTTTATATTGATGTAACATGTTGATTTGGAACACTGGAATTTCATTTGTATTTTTATGTTCTTTTTTTAAAGGGCAGTTTCCATGATCAGCAGACCCAGAAAAAAAATAATAATTCCTTCAGTTCCATAAATTTTGTTTGTGAGCTGTCGTTGCCCCATTCATAAATCTTGTCTCGTTACGGTTCTTCGGAATGGTCTGAGCAACTTTCAGAGCTGTGTTCTTTGAAAGTGTAGAGGAACCTGAACTTTGGATATTGTCATGTTTTCACTGTTCTTTGTTTTTGTTTTTTTAACTAAAGCTATATAAAGCTTGTGGATTAAACAAAATAAATTTCTAAATTTAAACAGATGTTGGCTATTTTTATCTGGACGTTTACATTTGCTAATCAGCTTTGTTTTTTGCAGGATTAATGAGTGCTCAGAGATGAGAAAGTGTTTGATCCACTGTGCTGGCTCTGGAAAAATTGGGGCTTTTAACTGGCCTGGTGGAGCAGGAAAAGCCCTTTAATTAATTAGTGATGCTCCTGTGGAGTTCCTGCCCAGCAGGAGTCTAACAGCCTTACCTGGGCAGTGTTTTGGGAGAATGGAGAAGCTCAGACTCAATATTTGCTGTGAAAATTGCTGGTCAGAACAAGTGAAGTGTTGGAAGGCCCTGCAGCAGCAGGGCATGAGCAGCAGGTTTGATTAACGTGGGGAAGGAGCTGTGGTGGTGTGAGAGCTCATCTGAGGCATCCTGGGGGCTCCCTGCCTTTCCAGAATTATGGAATCAGAGTGGGTTGGGACCTTACAAAGCAGCCACTTCCAATCCCCTTTTAATCACTGGCAACTTGCTGGGTTGCTGCTGTGGAATTGTTGTAAAAACTCCAGCTGTGTTTCTGAAACCAGCTCACATCTGAAGCCTGAGGTTTTTCTGGAAGGTGCTTGTGAACCTTTCTGTGCTGCAGCTGCAGTAGCTGAGGTGCCCACAGAGAAGCTGGAGATTGATGAATCTTTCCTTGCCCTTGTGCAGGGTCTGACCTGAGGCAGGGCAGCTCCAGCTCCTGCCTGGGAGGGGAGGAGCTTTCAGGGCAGCTCCTTCTGCATTTCCCTGTGTGCTGAACCTTTTGTTTCTTCACACAAATGTCATTGTGTGCTCAAGTGCTTGTAAACTCCTCCAGAGCTGGAATGCTGAGGATCACCTGTTACTAAATTCCAAGAAGCTTCTGGACAGAGGCATTTTGCAAAGTCCATCTGGGTGAATTTGGTGCTTGAGGAGCCACAGAGCTGGACTCAGGACGTGCTGATCCTCACTCACTTGGATTTTCCCTGATGTCCTGCAGGGGTGCAGCTCCCCAGGCTTTAATGCCTCCTCCTTTATCATCCAAATCTTGCTTCTACCTGGGTTTGGTGACCTCTGAGTGCCTTTTAATCTTAGCACTAATAGAAGTTCTTTAAATACATTCAGGGCCTGAGTCACTGCTTATCTTCCCTCACACCTATTTCCATCTCCTGCCTCCAGGGCTGATAAAGGACCTCTGGATGGGCCAGGCCTTCCCTCCACATTTCCATCTCCCTTGCAGTTCCCATTGTTGCTGCTCCCCCTGCCTCTTTTTCATCTATCCATAAAGAATGGTGTAGGCTTAAAAAGAGCAATTAAATGCAATGTTTAAAAAGAGCATAACTTGTAAATTGTATTTAGCTTAGTGCTTTAATTCCTTCCTACTTACCCATTCAACTAGTAACATTTCATTTAAATATCAATTGGGGAAATGAGCCCTCTCCTCTCCTGAGCTGTCCCTGCTGTTGCACAGAGTCTGCTGGGCTGGCTTCCATCTGAGTCTCTGCTGTTCTGACACCACTGAATTCTCTCCTGATCCTCTGATTGAGCTCCCCTCATCCAAACCCAAACCTGTCTGATCCCTTCCCCACTCCAGCTTCTTGGTTAACCTCTCTGTTTTTAAATCCTTGTATTTGTAGTTCAGAAATGACCCTGGTGTGATGAGGCAGGAGCTACCTGGATCTCACTTCTTTTTTATCCTGGATCTGCTCATGCTGAATTTTGGCTTCCTGACCCAGGCCACCCTCTGAAGTGACAGACACAGGGTCTAGGTAAGGGCCTTGCTGCAATGATTGCATCCAGCTCCACAAAAAGTTTAATTGGGCTGTGTAACCGAAATGGAACGGAGTCCTCAGCAGTGAGCGTGAGGCTGAGGTGAGTCACAGGTCAGTCTCTGTAGCTGCTTCTGAAGAAAGATGTTTGTTGTGTCAACAGCTGGGACAATGGCAGGTGTGTGTGCAACAGTTCCAAGCTTACAGAAACTCAGGGCTGGATTGTTAAATTTTTCCACTTGTGTGACTTTGGCAATTTGCCTGGGAGTGCTGTGGAGCTTCCTGAGCCGAGGGATTTACCCTGCATTGCCCCAGGACACAGAACTGTTCTGCTGCTGCTCCCCGGGAGCCCAGGGACAAATCCCAGCACCAGGGCAGAGCTCTGTGCTGGGAGCCATCCCAAAACCTCCCTCACTGACACTGCCCCGTGTCCTGAGGCTGCAGGGAGGGACCTGGGCTGGGAGGAACAGTTGTGCACTGTGACTTCATTCCTGAGCACCAAACTCCAAATCCCTGTGTTGGTGTCAGAGCAGCTCTGGGAGGAGCAGCTCAGCAGGACACACAGCTGTGTTTTGGTGGAGTCCATTCCACCTGTTGTGTGTCATAACTGATGATCTGGTACAGGATCATCTCATAAACCCTTGATTTGTCTGCTTGAAGTCCACTGTGGATGTCACCAATATCTCAAAGCACTGACAATTCAATGGAGTTGTGTCTTACTCATAAATTACTATTGGAAGTAATTCTATCTCTTCCAGGGTAATAATAAGATTGTTGAATCTCAGCACAATGGGATGGGGAGTTGTGTATTCCCAGACTAATCAGCAGTTTGACTTTTGAACTTTGTGCAGCAATCCTGGATGAGGTCAAAGAGGCTGGAACTGCTGGGGTCCCTTCAGCTGGGTGTGAAACAGCAGCTGGGCATGGTCCCCACAATGGCTGGAGACTCAGGATGTCCTGTACCAGCCTCTCGTGTGGGCTCCCTCTGGCTCAGGATCAGACAGTCCAGCAGGATCTGGGGTCCTTCCTGCTGTGGGGTGACAGCTCAGCTGCTCTGAGCCAGGTTTGGGGGAAGGAGTGCTTGGCTTTGTTATCTCTTGTTCAGTTTAGCTCTGACTTGAGCCAGAGCGTTTCCTCCTGCTGTGAGCGGAGCTCAGGGAGCATCCAACACAGTTAGAGATCTTCTGGTCCGCTTGAGATGCTTTGTGTTTGCTGCCTTGGTGGCTGTCAGGTGGTGAATTTTTCATTTGTCTCATCCTGAGTAGATTGAGCCTTGGGGAGATGGCTGGGAAAAGTGGGGTTGATTTTAATTGCTCTTAAAGCAGGAGAACAAGGGAGATGATGTTCAGAGGAGTCATCACTTCTCACTGCAGGTTTGTACCTAAACATCCCCAGGTGGCTTTGGCTCTGTCTCACCAGGCTGGGGATGGAGTAGAAGCTGTTCTGGAGGGATGAGGATCACACTTTGTTGAGTCGCTGGAAAGGAGGGTTTGGGTTTTTCTTGCCTTTTTTTCCCCATGTTTTATTTAAAATCAAGAGCCACAAAGTGCCTCCTCTGGGGTTTGCCGGTGTCTTGTGTAGGGGCTGTGCCCAGCAGCAGACGGGAGCTGTGTGGCT